CATTAAAAAGTAAATCACAGAGCTGCACATGTGATCGGTAGATCCCGAATCTATGATGAATTGAGTACTAGATTGGGTTAAAAAAGTAGTACCCGATGTCTTAACCATGTTGGCCGAATCTGATGAAGGACCAGAAGATCTCAAACCAATCACCCCCCGTCCTTGCATTTGAAGAAGTTGTTGAAACCGTTGTGCCAAGGACTCAGCTTTCGACCGAAACTCGTAGAGTTTCCCGGAACAGCAATTTTTGCTTCTTGAACCTTATCTTTGTTGGCACGAAGATGAGGATGGAGTACCCAACACCTATCTTTGGAGTGACCATCTCTATGACAATGGTCACAATGAAACCGAACGGGCCTTTTATTTTTTCCCTTCACCAATTTCGCCACGTATTCGCCATGTTGGTTGTTCATCAAAGCATTATGAGCTAAATTTTCAGAGATTGGCTTATCAAGACTAGGCGAGACACTCATCACTCGACGCCTCGTCTCTTCTCCTTGAATCAAGCCACAAACTTCATCAAGCGTAGGCAAGTTTGGGCTCATCGAATTTGTCTTCTCACGTCTTCGTACTCGTGCCGAATGCTGGCCAAGAATCGGAAGACACGATCTTACTCTTCCCGTCGAATGTAATCAGCCACACTTTGGGTTGCTGGCCTATACGACAAGCTCATCCCACCTTCTCTTCATACTTCCAAGATGGTTGGTGAAAGATTGAGAGGACTCTTGCTTAGAGTTAGCAATCTCTTGCTGCAATTCGAATACTCGCGACGCATTCCGAGCTTGTCCATACATCTTATTCAATGATTCCCACAAGATTCGAGTGTAGGGGAATATGCAAAAATCTCATACACTTGGGATTCCATAGAGTTAAAAATCCAAGACATAACCAAACCGTCGCTGGTTTGCCATTCATCAAATTTCGCATCCCTCTCGGGAGGTGCTTTTATTTGGCCATTGATATGACCAAGCTTTGATCCGCGCCAGGGCCACCGTAATAGCACGAGACCATGGAAGAAAGTTCTTCTCATTCAACAATATGTTGGTGAGTCGCTGACCGGTGGCGGTGGAGTTGGGTTCGGGATTGTCCAAACTCGAATCAGCCATGATTTGAACAACAACCGTGGATACACCAAGAAGAAGGAGACAGATGGATCAAACACATAAACAGGTACGAACCCGCTTTGATACCATGAAGAAATTAGACAAGAAGACACGATTTAACGAGGTTCAGCAATGTGCCTACGTCCTCGGGTAATCCTCTCTCGAAGTTTTTCTTTTTTTGTTTTCTTGACTTTGAGAGAGGGACTGCCTTTTATTGATGAAGTACAGGAAAGGAAGACAACGAGAAAACCTAAAGCCAAAATAGGCAATTCCCAGAATTACAGAAATCAAACAAATCTACATAATTTCTTCCCAAAAGAAAGAGAACCAGCATCAATCACGCCAACACATGACAAATTCAAATTCAAAATATAATATTATAACGATAGCAAATGACATGAGATGTGCAAAATTACACTGGTGGAATAATTTCATTTAATTTTCGGCTGTACTCGGATATGGTAACGCTCATGTAGAAATACACATTCTTTGAGCCCTGTCGAATATGTCAAATCATCGACTACGCCATGTAGGATGACCGGTGCTAACTGGACAGTTATGTCAGCAATTTCCGTTTTAAATTAGTCAGAAGGACTACATTTAAAAATCGTCATTTTGAGCCACGTCGGACACCTTCAATCGTCGACCGTGACACATAGGGCAACTGATGCTGACTCGACAGTCATGTTAGTTATTTTCGGCCTATATTAGCCTGAAGAACTACATTTGACAATCATTAAATGGTTTAGGAATTATATTGCCAAATTTAAAAATTTTATGACTGTATTGGCGGCTGTACAATATATTTTGGACTTTTCGGATATTTCCTCTTGGGATATTGACCCAAAATGACGCGGTCTAAAAATCGGACGTTGACTTGATGACTTAACTCTTTTGAAATCATTACTTACATAAATAAGAGGTCAGAAAAATTTTGTTTGATTCCGACACCTCTTGGTCTAGCTTCGGGCACCTAAACGGATGATAGGTGATAACTTCATCATCTATCATTCGATTGACCCGATTCTTGCAGCATTGGAATGTTTGCAATCTCTAGTTTTATAATGTGCACCACAAGCAGGGAAGTAGCAAACTTTTAGACACTACAAAAAAAGGGCGACTAGTCCCGAATGGTAAAAAATGACCTTTAAATCTGGGTAGCGATGTATGTTTTAAATATTTGTTTTGATAAGAAGAACGGGAAAATTCCAAATAAGGGCTTAAAGTGCCTTCATTTTCTCAAATCAATGACTTTCAAAATTGGAAATTTGTCCTAAAATTGGTTAGATGATCAAAATCGATAACGTGACTTGTCGATCATCACGTGAATATCCTTTTCGAATCCAAGTGCCACGCTTCTTCACTTTCTTGTATAAAATACAACCAAACCCATTTTGTGAGATCGATCAAACGCTTTTTACACATGACAATACTTATGTATATTCAAATGAAGTGATGACAAGAACTCAACATGCTGTCACCAAAGCTTGACTTCACCCATGAATATCATTCAACTAAATCAACAAACATCAACCGACCAAGTAAGAGTACTAAGTAGATCAACCTAATTTAGTCCCTAGAGTTTTTACTTACCTTAAAAATGACTTGATAACTCAAAGCTTTAGTCACCTTCAAATAAACAAAACTGAAAATCAACAATTCTTATTTTTAAAACGACGAACTCATGAGTAAAAAAGTAGTATAGCTTAATAACTCACCTAGTCCAACTAGGAAAATTTGAGATAGAAACTTTAATAAAACAAGTGCCGAACCTCCACTTTTACTCGCAGAATTTGAAAATGAAAGTTGAGGAGAAGTTGGAAGTCAATGATGTGGGGTCTTTTATACTTGGGACTTGAAAGCTTCTCTAAGATTCACTTACAGTCGAGACAAGAGTTATAAGGATGAGATGAATTAACCAAAGTTAAAGTAATAATTGTCACTGGATTAAAATTATTAGGTCTAAAAGTAGAAGGTATGTGTCCCTAAGCAAAGAGCTAGGGTGCAACTGATCTAATAAGATTGGTTACAAAAAGATAATTTGGAAGAGCTCCTTCTCAGCCAAGTAAAATGAATGAGTAAAGGTTAAGCTTATCGCTAACATTAATGGGTTAGAGTTGAAATAGATGATGTAATGCATTATGTCATTTCTAGGCTAAGCTCTATGTCACCAAGGGCATGTGGGCTAACACAATTGGTGGAAAGTGAAGGGAGCTGGCACAATTTAAAGAGGAACAAATGGTTCAATCATATAACTGAAAGAGAAGAAGGGAGAAAGTGGCTAAGTGATTAAGGATCAAGATGGATCGAAAGTGTGATCCTAACTGGGAATTCACGGAACAAATCGCCCAATATTAATCAGTTCCAGTAAATTAACTCATCGTTATAAGCATGTTCTGATTGACTTAAAGCCAAACTAAAAGTGTCTGTTCAATTGTCTGCTAAAACTTTTAAAAAATTATTTTTAGCTTTCGAAAGACTATTAAAAATCGAGGTAACAATTAAGAGTAATTTACATACATATCATTATAAATATGGTATGTAACATATTTTAAAGCTTATAATTAACTTCGATTGACGGATGCTCAGTAAAAGGAGAAGGAAAAAAAGGAAATTCGCTTCTTTTAGTGGGGATAGTTGAGAAGAAGAGCAGAGAGTTTTTTGAATTCTCCATGCCTGATAAGTCGTTCGATTGAGGAACGATCCACGCTCTTCATCCTCAAAAACAAAAATACGGATAACAATAAATAAAAAGAGGTGTAAGAACGATCAACGACAGCTTGTTTTATCGTCCTCTTAGTTCCTGGAACGATCTTTTTTATTATTACAAGTGACTATTCTCTTTTTAGTTGCATGAGTATTTTTTATTATCTTCTACATAAAAAAAAATAGTGTCCTCTAATCGAATGGATGGATGACAGGTCCTCTCAAAGGAACTAAAGAGTAAGGCCTTATATCTAGCAATCGATTTTCGACCATGGACGAAGTTGCTAATACAAGAAAGAAAAGGAGAAGAGAGAAGTTTTATTTCTGAAGTCGGGAGTTTGAATCGAATGATAACTAACTATAGCGTTGCCCATGAATTATCGGCTCGACTGCTAGCTAAAGCAGTTGGAATTTCACAGCTTTCAAAATCTTAAACTGTAAAAAAGCTAGGGTCATGCTCAGAGGGATGAAATAGTTAGTTACTTAGAGTAGCATTTCATCTATAATCGATGAACCCGTTATAATCGCATAATGTTTTTCAAATTAAAATCGATGGACAGGAAGGCAAGAAAGGAAAGAAAAAAAGAAAAAGAATCCAGGGAGGTTCCATTATTTCCCCGCAAACAAATCATTGGTTGTTCAATGTTATTTTTCATGTGGCTAGCATGAACGAATCGATTGGACAGTAGTAGAGGAAAGTAAGGAAGTCACCAATAAATATATTGATTGGGATGCGTTATTTATTTTAACTTGCCGATACCCACATGCTTCGCATTCCCAACTTTTCGAATGACAAATAATATTTTAATAATTTTTTGAATTATTTTTTTTCTTTCTCTTTCTTGTTTTTTTTTCCTTCCCTTCTTCCTCTAGTCGATCGCCGAGGTCTGCTGACCAGCCAGAGGCGAGGGAGACCTCACCGGCCACTATCGCCGCCGATAAGGTCGAGCCTTGCCGGCCAAAGGAAGAAGGGAAGAAAAAAAAAGAGAGAGAAATAAAAGAAAAAAAAACATGAAAAATAAAATAAGAAAGAAAAAAATTCAAAAAATTATTAAAATATTATTTTAAAATGTCCATGTCAGCACTAGCCATACCACGTAGGGACAACTGACGTCCATGTAAGCGATTTCAGGGTAAAATTGGTCAGATTGACTAAATTGGCATAAATGGAAAATGTTGCAAAAAAAAAAGTTTAGGACTGAATTAATACGACTGCAATAGATTTAGGAATTTTTTGGTAATTTTCCCTCATTAACTTGATTGACTAATAAGTAATAACAATAAAACTCAAATGTAGAGACGAAGCATGAACACAACACGGCACTTCTTCTTATTAGGGTTTGTCATAAATAAGTAGAGTGGTGCCCGGATAGTTAATGCACCTTCATCTAGAGCTTACTGCATCTCTGCCAACCGTCCATAATTCCAAGTGACACATGGCTTCAATTTCATTACAAGACATTACAACTTGGAAGGAGCACGTCCCGCTGTTGTGTCGTAGACTTTGAGGAAGAAGCGAGTCCTTGGAACGGACAGATTGGTTTGGAGGATGCCGGCGATTGAATCGATCAGCCTCTTCTTCACTTGGGAGTTTATGCCTCCAATGGAAACGATTTCACCGTATGCAGCTGGTTCTCTGCTGCCCGCAAGCGATATGTCCAACGATCCCTTGAGTATCACCATTATGTACTGTTCCATGCGTGGAGTCAACTTTAGACTATGATTAATATCCCTTCACAATGGGAAAAACATAAAGAGAACAGTTCTAGGTTAAGTTAAAAATCGGTCTACAAAATTAGTTTTCTAAGTGAGGTGGCTGACGCAAGTGGATATTTGAACAAGTGGATCATCTTCAACACCAATTTGCATAATACATCTGCATAATTTGGTCTTTGCTGCAACGCTAGATGAATTGATATGTTAAGATATGTGACAAATTACTACTGGGTGTTTGATATGATATGATAATGTATTCAAATGCCCACTTTCAATTTGACAAATCAATAAGTATAATGATTTTTGTAGATGAGTTTTAGTGTACTTACCATTGCTCATCTTATAACAATAGTCAAAGTGAAAGAAAGAGTGTTGCCGAGACGTGTGAAGAACGAAAGGTAAGGCCAACTAATTGGAAAATAATTTCATAATCCTACATTAGAGTTTCAAGGTTTCCGATAAAATTAGGTGAGAATTGTCATAAGTGGACCGTGGATATACAGGTGAGAGACAACAAATCGTCAAGGGGTATAGCATACATAGTCAGTGCCAATGATGAAGCATGCACCACCGGTGTAAACATAAAGTTTCACCAGCCGTTTCATCTACCGTTGATTTGAAAATTGATGAATGTGCGAGTAGATACAACCACTTTAAATAGTGGATAAGCCGCTTGCGAAACATTTTTCTTACACTGATGATGTCCGCTATATAGTAGAGGGAGCATACATTTTCGGGTTTGCCTATGATGGAAGCGCAAGCTTTGGTGGCTTCCACGACGAGAGGGTCAGTGTCCACCCCATCGAGGCACACGTTGGTGGAGATGTAAAGGCAAGGCATCTTCTCCCTCCGATCCCCTCCCGTGGCGTTGCTTCTTCTTTTTCGCACGTGACAAACCGCGAGATGTGCTCAGCTCCGACTGGAGGTTTTTCTTTTATAGGAACGTCCGGAGCTTCCTAAAGAACCATGTCTCTACTTAGGATAGTGCGTGAGCTAAAATTCAATACGTCGTGATTGCGAGAGGACGACGAATAGTGCGTCGCCATGAAATTCCACTTGGAATGATCGTGTGTCCATCGACGATCCTGCGAAGGGAAAATGATGAGGGACAAAGCCATGAGGTAGTGGAGTCACGAGTACGGACCCATGCCCAGCGCAAGCTCCTCGCGCACAACGAGCAAGTGCCCATTCCCATTGAGGAACTGTGTCCACTGATGTAACTCCCACGTCCCCCCACCGCACAAGCAAAACACAAAACGCATGCACGCACTCATCCATACAAGAACAACGCAACAGATGATGAGACTAATTCCTAAAGTGATGCGATAGATTGTAAGTGGCTATTGAAATAATTCCAAGTTGACTCATGGTCGTGCTAGTGGTACGATCTACTATTCCATAAAAAGAGAGTCGCGAGTTCAAGGAGTGGCCATTAGTCTTATGAGGATGAATTTCTAGAGGTAATGGTAGTGACTTGCACAAACTCGCGAGATAAAAACGCGAGATAAAAATAGGTGGATGATCAGATAACGACTCTCTTTTTCCTTAATCCGTTCCATGATTATCTAAAGGCCACATATCTACTAGGATAGTCTAAGCGCTATATTATTATTCTTCACCTCTTTTGTTTTTTAAAAATAAAAAGAAAATAGCAAGTTATTTCGTAGGAATTATTAGATAACTAAATTTAAAATATTATGACAATGTACTAAATTCTATGTTAGGGATAATGTATCCCTTTTTTTCCTTTTTCTCCATTACCCACTTTGGCCTTTCTCCCACCCCCATGAGACACTCATTCGTGGAGCCATTGCCTCAGCCAACGATAGACATCTAATTTTTTACTGCGTGGTTGATCAAACTTTGACCTAAAATCAACCTTATTAAGACTGCAATCGAATGGTACAACCAGATTGCGCTCTGTGAGAGCTTTCCAACGATACTCGATTTGCACGAATCGTGTTATATCGCAATTGTTAGCCATAGCCATCCAACGTCGATGGGGCAAGGAAAATCACGATTCTTGCAAATCAGTGATGAAATGTAGATTCAATTACAAGCTTTCCAGCACCTTTAAAAGCACGTCGATCGAAGTTTTCTTAGAAGACATCGCGACTTCTTACCTAGGCTGTTCATTCGACCCTATTCTTGGAAATATGTTCCACCTTGAAACTAGACTAGGCTGGAAATCGAACACTCCTAATGGAGGAAGATACATTGAAGTATCTGCATTTGCAGAAAATCCCACTAAAAAGGCGGGTCCTAGGTCCACACGCCAAAGGATCAGAGGGCGCAATGATGGAGCTTGGAGGCGTGGGTGGTGTTCTGAGCCTCGGAAAGGGTGGGGCTGCATTGACGGGAGCATGGGAGCGATGTCCGGCACGCCTTGATGTCATTAAAGTTGGTATCTCTCTGTTCATTTTAATAGTTACTGTGTGTGGATTTTGAAATGGACTGAACTTAACAAATAAGTGGACGGGCAATCGGTTGTCGTAGGATTTTTAAAATTTCGAGCAAAACAATGTGCAGAGGATAAATAGTGCTTCTAGACGAATTATGTCATGTAGAGCAAATACCTTTTTATCAACCGAAATGTAAAGAGACTAAGACATAAAATAGATTTTAAAACAATTCGCAGTGATTTGATTGTTTCACTCGGCCTATCCCATCTCCCAGTTCTAACAACCTAATAACAAGGCTGAATTCCACTAGTGTATTCCTTGAAGTCTTTGACGGTCTACGCTCAAAACACTCTCTGTCAATAATTACACTAGTACCCTCTCAGAGAATCCAATCAGATTTCACAAGATTATTCTCAAAGAATAAGCACAAATAAGAACAAGTTTGAGAACGCTTTGATCTCCTAGGCCGACTCCAACTCTCGATTCGACGCATATGTATAGCCCTCCAAACTTCCTTGGCATGTCGGAAACTTAAAATAGGTTATAATAGCCATTGCAAAGGCTGCTCTTGGCTCCAAGCATTCACTTGGGACTAATTAATGAACCTTACTGAAATAGGCCAAACCAACTTTGCGAACTCGTCTGATATTTCATCTACTTAGCCAAAAACGGCAAACCCCATTTGACTTCTCTATAACGTTTCTGTGTGGATTCCAATGCCTGAAATTGGATCCAAAGCACCAATTTGAAATCAAATAAACTCTACTTGGATGGTTACGTGAAGTGCTGTCCACTTCGTTTGTAGGCGAACTTCCTCTACAACATGGTTAATTTAGACTTACAATTTTACCAAATCTTAATTTGTTCACCTTCTGCACTATCCTTCCAAGCATATTTATGCTCTCATGCTATCCAAGTTGTTCTCCTTCTATTTGGTCCGTCCAAACACTCCGATGGTCCCACATCTCTCGCTTGTTTTCCAAAGTTCAAACGTCCTTTCAACTCCAACACTTTCCACTTAGTATCTTGTTTGCTATTTGCATAGTAAGGAACCTTTCCACTGACATAGACGTGTTATTGTTAACATCATCTGCATATGAACAGGTGTCTGTTAAGAATATTTCGTCTACAAACTTAAATATACATATTTATTCACAAAGAATATTTTGTAACCTTCAAAATAAACTTTTGTAATAAACAAAGAGTTTTCTCGACAATCTTCCCCTATTTTATGATGATAAAACATTCCATAACTTTCAATATGTAGATGTGTTCCCGCACCAGAAGATATTAGAAATACTTGTGTGCGTGCAGGTAAAAATTTTGTCTTTGTGCCGAAGTGACATATAAAGTTCAGATTAGAGCACTTAGCATGTATGACATGTTGTATGCTTTTTGTGATGTGGAATGAATCAATGTAGAAAACAAAAATTATACACATGACTTCTCCAAAGTTAAGCATATTTGTTTTGTGGTAAGATAATATTTTGAGAAATAGAGGAAATAGATGATATATCATCTGTGGAGTAAATCTTCTATTAAACCATAAAAGCATGTCAATCAAATATCAAAGCGTGGTAAAAAGGCTATCTCTTCGAAAAGGGACGGAATGTGCTTTAGTATGCTTTGCCCAGAACTTCTTTTTGGTCATGACTTTATATCCAATTGCTATTCGCCAATAAATATGTTATAGTCAAAATCAAGTACCCGCAGAAGTTACTGTCCCTCCCTATCATTTATGTCGTACGCTTTCTAAAGAGAATAACTTTGAGAAATATATAATACATTTTAGCATTCGAAATAAATGATTTTAACAGACATCTATATAATTTTCATTACTCTTGAGGAAACTATAGAAAAAGAACAAGAATTATTTCTATTAAAATAACTATCGCTTATAACAAGCTAAAATTGTCGGCAAATTGGCTTATTGCTGACTCTATATGTGAAAATTGGAAACAACAAGCATGATCCTAAGGAAAGAAAGAAGAAAAACAAGAAATAAGAACCAATGAAAGAGTTTTGCAATAATTAATTGTTGCTTCCGATGTTTCCAACTTTCACATGTTGCACGTTCTTGCTCCATTACAGTTTCCAATTTTCACATGTTGCACGTTCTTGCTCCACTACAGCTTTTGAAATGACAGCTGAAAAAGAACCATGAAAAGGTTTCCCTAGAGTACGTGAACAAGTTTTTGGACTTTCTTATCCAATTTTTCCATGGACTTTCTTATCCAATGTTTACGCACAGTGTTTAGTAACTAAGGGTATTAGGTCGCCAAGTCGATAACCATACATTGTTCATAAGCACAGGCCAATCTAGCAGAAGCCGAAGCTCCTTTTTGTCACCCCAAACACGGGATGCTACTATACCTACCTTCCCGGCGATAACCAGTCGAAGTTGATGTGAAGTCTACTTTTTCCACCCAAGAACCCTTAAATTTCCTCTCATTCTCTTTCTTTCTTGGAGAGAAAGAATACGAAGAGAACTTATGAGGAGATCCATCTACCATATCAAAGAGTTCCTTCTCTTGTCTCTCGTAACTTTGAGAAATGTAGAATATATTTTAGAGTGCGAAACAAATGATTTTAACATACATCTATATAATTTTCTTTACTCTTGAGGAAACTTTAGAAAAAGAACAAGAATTATTTCTATTAAGATAACTATCCCTTACAAAAATAAAAATAAAAAGAGCTAAAATTGTTGACTCTATATGTGAAAATTGGAAATAACAAGCAAAATCCTAAGGAAATAAAGCGAAAGACAAGAAATAAGAACCAATGAAAGAGTTTTGCAATGATTAATTGTTGCTTCCGATGTTTCCAATTTTCACATGTTGCACGCTCTTGCTACAGCTGAAAAAGAACCACGAAAAGGTTTCCCCAGCGTACGGGAACGAGTTTTCGGACTTTCTTTTCCAATGTTTCCACTAGCTATTAGGTGGTGTTTTGAGTGAGCCATCCTGTGCCAAAGTGCTTCCGGTATCTGTTGACTCCTATGGGCGAATTATCACAGACAACAGCCCATTTGATTCAGCATTTGAGAAAAGCCTTTGGCCAAATGCAAAGGTCTTTAGCCTAAAAGACTTTGAGAAAATGCTAGACTGTTTGGTAAACTATAACTGAAAAGGATTTTGGGGAAATGCTAGACTGTTTGGTAAACATATATTTGCAAAGCTCTTTGGTGTAACCAAATTAAGTTTTTTAATTTTTAAATTAAAAAAAATTGAAAAAAAAAGAAACAATGATCGTAACTTTTATATTTTCGCGTTGAGAGCAATGTAAAATATACATATTAACATTTATAGAAAAAAAATCACATCCTACAAATTCGATCGTAGCTTGCACACAACTATTATGATATCTCATCTCATACAAATTTGATTAGAAGAGAGTTTTAGTCTGCTTCCTAACAGTCAACTTGTGCTTCTTGTAATAGCAAGGGAAGGAACGTAATGTGCGGGTGCTCGCTGTCTCTATTTAACCA